TTGGAGAAACGCCGATGTACGCGGGGGCTGGGTTGGGGGGGGGGGGGAGCAGATTCCTATCGACAGGACAAAATTAACAAATGTTTAAAAATAGCCGTACCTCCTCACCATTTCTAGTTTTAAGCACTGTGCTTATTCTTAAGCCCCTTGAGTGCTTTGCTTTAAACAATTATTTTTTTTAAAAAGAGCTTTCCTCCTTCTAAAGAGAATTTAGCTGAATTCTGCCAAATCTCCCGGGGTCCGGAGGAGTCCCAGGTAAAATAGATGGTCCCCGCAGAGCAGCTGTGGGGAAAGGTGCACCCCGGGGGGGGCTGCGTGGCAGAGCCCGGGGCTCACTCCCCACCTCTGCACAGTCACCCCCGGAGTTGGGGTCACACCGGCACCTCCTTGTTAGAGGTGAAAGCAACTGAAACTTGCTGTCCGGCATAATTTCTGTGCAGCTGGCTCCGGAGGAGGGTCAGGCCCTCTGCCACTGCTGCCGTGCCCTTTCTGCTGCCCGGTGGTTTCTGTCATGCAGGCGAGGTTTCGTGCGTGATTGTGTCCTCCTCTGTGCAAGGGAAGGCGGTTACCTGGAGAGAGCGAAATTCAAGGCTGCCAGAAGAACCCATGATCACTTTTGAGGGAGATAATTAAGATAAAACTAAGGAGCTTCCGCGGTGATGGAGAGCAAACAGCAGGCAGTTAGGTTTGCAGTGAAGCATGAAATAAGGTGTTGTGTAGCTTTGCGCAGTAGCACCGAGCTCACTCTTTCTAGGATTGCCCAAGACAACCAAAAAATGCTGGTAGTGACGGTCTTTGGATTTAATAGAGGGTAACCTTTATGTGCTCAATGTCTCTTGATTCTCTAAGTAAGAGCAGCAGGGACCAATGCTTCTGTACTCTGGGAAGCAGATGGCACTGGTCTAAATTAATGTTATGTGGCTTGTTTCAATAGTCCTCTCACAGCAGTACTAAGAGGAACCCTATTAATAACACGTAAAACTCCCGGCATATCTGTGTGTCAGAAGCACCCAACTTGCTGGTGATCCGCTGGCAACAAAACCAAGGAGTAGGCAGGCAGGCAGCGACCTCCCAGGGGAAGAAAGGAGAGGAGTAATTGGTAAGATCTTCATTCTTCTGCTTCGAAGGGCTGAGCCCCGCCAGGCGAGATGAAGCAGTCTGTGACAGAAGAGCCATGGCCACATGGGTGCGTCTGTACATCCTTCCAACCTCAGCAAGACCCACACATTCAGTTGAAGCCTTTCCCTCCCACCCTGGATAGGGCAAGGTTTCTCCTCCCTGTCTTTTCCTCTCTTCCTTTTATTCAGGCGTGATAGCGCGTTGCCTGCCTCAGCGTCAACACAGCGTATGAATTTTGAATTTTCAACATCAATGGCACTGCGCGGACCTGCGCCCAAGCTCATCCACGCACATGCAGGGCAGCAGGGCTGGCTGAAGAGGGTTGATGTGGCTTTCTCCTTTTTGATGGTTTCTTATAACTGGCAGCTTTCCATAACAGGGCTGAATTTCCTTAATAAATTATCCCCTTTATTGAGCAAAATTTGGACTGGTGCCTAACACGTAACTGTGTTGGAGGGGGCTCACAAGCATTTATGCTTAGGAATACGGCAGGCAACTGTTGTGTGTGACGTGCCCAGCAGAATTACCTGCCAAGACGTAGTGGGCAGCACTTTATCTGGACAAGTAGTGTTTCTCACACTGCAAATTAGGTAGCAGAATGGACCACGTTTTCAAATGTATGTATGACTGTAACAACACCCCATGGCAAGAAGTTGGGTTTTCTTCTCTCTATTATAGTAAGTTTGTTTACCTCAAATGCTGCTGTGTACTATTCAGGGAAACACATGCTCTGCTTTCTTTTAATTTCCTATAATTATCAATTATTACAGTACCACATCTCCTAAATAAAGTGCAGGAAAAGTTAGGTGTGTTTTACTCCCCTTTATGCTCATTTTGGATCCAGACAAGAACATGATCACCGATCCATGATCGGATGACCAGAGTTGTCAGATTGCTCTCTAGAGCCCTTACACTCTCTCCTCCCCAAACCCTTGCATATACTACTTCAATTATTGGGATAAAAAAACCCTGCAAGCATATGTGGTCAGTCTTACTGGCTGATTTAGATTCCCATGAGGATATAATACAATGAGGCTGCATCTTCTATAAAGGCATAACATGCAACAAGTGTTTTGTATGCCTCTTTCCACCTTTTGTTGTTTAGCATTAACAGCCCTTTGCCATAATATAGGTTAATCATAAACAGAAATGAGAAGGGAAATTTGTTTTACTGGAAGGAGAACACACTGCACTGGAGACTGCTGCTTTACCGATGTCCGTGCTTGAAGCTGGCCGGGAGCTGCGTGCCTGGGGACCAGGTTGTCCCTTGGCTGCCCAAGCTGGGGCTCTTCTCTGCTTCTGCCCGAGAGGCAGAACAGCCAAAGCCAGGAAGAGAATTGGCCCATCCCCAAAATGAAGGTTGGTTTGTTGTTCAGCTGATTAATAGGTTTTGGCTAGGTGAGTGGTGACAGAGGATTTGGGTAAAATACTTCCTGGATGAAGACTGAAGGAACGGGAGAAGTGCTGCACACCCCGAGGTGCGAGTGCTGGCATTGCAGTACGGGCCAGGAGGACCCTCTGCTACTTGGGGAAATTCTTTAGCTTGTGATAAAAAAGAATAGCAAGCTCAACGTAAAGGAAATAGCCTGTACGCTTTGAATGCTGTCCTAACTCAATGTTTTTGTCCACTTGCTGCCTAACTTATAACAGCATTACTGTCTTGCACTCTACTGAATGACCTGCAGCGTAGGCTAATTACCTGTTTTATCACAAGTGTATGCTGTGGCAGTGAAGGATTTGTACCGGTGGTTCCTTTGAAGAATCAAGTTGAGAGAAACTCACAATATGTCTCAGAACTGCATGGAGATACGCACACAAAATCTGGTCGTCAAATCAGTTACTGTGATGATTTTTTGGGGGGGTTTAACAAGACTTCTCAGCTAGGTTTTATCCACTCACATTTAGCTTAAACTCACTCTTAGCGATAGTTGGAGGATCCTGATAAGGCCTGTGGTGTTCAGGGCGTGTGCTGAACAGTCACCTCAGATTTCAGGTCACTTATTCTGATGGAGCAGTCACAAACAAATTGTTGCCTTAATTCAGACTTAATTTTCCCCTCTACTGAAAGCTTTGGGACTGAGTGGTGCTTGTTTGGTATTCCCTGTTCTGGAAGTTGAATGATCTTGTTTGTTACAAGCTAGAAGAGCAATTCTGTCTTAACCATGTGTTCCAGACCACAGTCATAGACTACGTGAAGCCATCAGATCTCAAGAAGGACATGAATGAGACCTTTAAGGAGAAGTTCCCTCACATCAAGTTAACCCTCAGTAAAATAAGAAGGTACGTTGCAAAGCTTGGTCAGGCTGCAATGTGATGCAGCTCTCTCACATTTCAGTGCAATTGCTGCTGTACGTGAAGGGAAGCAGAGCACTGATTGATCTTCCAGGAGCAGTGACCGGCAGAGGTGCGGAGTAAGTCAGATGATTGCTTTGATTAGTGCGCTGAGTAAACAAGATAGGGGAATGTACAAACACATCGGTCACGTGTCAAACGTGGCATCTAATGGGATGAAGATGTGAGTTGGGCAATGCACTGTACTAAAAAAACCCCAGAAAAATAACATAACAGAGTCTCTAAGCTCATGGCACTTTGCTTAAAAAGGGACTGAGGAAAGGGACTGACTTCTGTGCCTTGTCCAGAGAGCACAGCCAGAAGCAAAACAAGTGGTCAGCTTCACAGCAAAGTTGTAGTATTTCATCACTGTTTCCAGTGTAGCAGGCTGGGCATACTTGCTTTACTGAAGTCACGATAATTTCATTTGACTGAAGTGGCCAGAAGGATGCCGAAACGTGTTGCTCTGTAACCAGACGGTACTGCAGTATGTAGAAAGACTTGGTTTGGATTTGACCAACCATAACCAGCGGCAAAGCTGCATATAGAGCACAAGCAATGGAGCTGTTGTTATTAAATAAATTGTATGCAGCTTAAGACCTCCAATGAAATATTTTTACTAAAAATGTCAAAGCTTTTCAGTTGCTTTTATAGTTTGACACAACTATCTCTTGGGGGCAGTGAGGGGGAAGGGTGAGGTCAAAATGTGCCATGAAATGTGTCCCCAAAACAGAGCAATTAACGTAACGTAATTTAACATAAATTACGTTTTCCTTTTCCCCTCCATTTGACTAAGCAGGAATCTCTGAAAGGATGGCTCTTAGGGTGAAATGAGAAATGCTTCAAAACACAGTTCACAGCATACTTGTCTGGTCTCTTTACTCAGCTTGAAGAGAGAAATGCGCAAGCTTGCTCAAGAAGAATGTGGTTTTGAAGAGCCTACAGTGGCCATGGCCTTTGTCTACTTTGAGAAGCTCGCTCTCAAGGGGAAGCTGAACAAGCAAAATAGAAAGCTTTGTGCTGGAGCCTGTGTTCTTTTAGCAGCCAAAATTGGCAGTGACCTCAGAAAACATGAAGTCAAGCATCTTATAGATGTACGTATCCATAGGTTTCCAGTGTTCCTTCTACATGAAGTGCCAGCATGTGGTCTACGCAAGCCTGTAGTCACCCTCTCATCTAGGTTTCCAGCTGTACAGCCAGCTAAATGCCTTTTTTTGTTATACATTTATGTGGAAGTAGTAAGGATCAGTGTCACTGCAGAGGCGTGGGAAGCTTATTTGATGTGATTGAAGACCCTGGTGTCAGATACTGTGAGGTCTGAGAGGTATCTGACCACGATTCTGTCAATACCAGTCAAAGTTAAAACCTCAGGAAATGTATTTTGCTTTTCATTATGTTTGCAGGAGTGTCAATAAGGACTCTCCTTTGAGAGGTAAATGCAGATACTGATTTCAGAGGCAGTCTAATAGACTACCGAGTTTGTCCTTCTTTCATCAAGTTAAGCTTTTGGGCAAGAAAACCTAAAGAAGTGTTCCCGTTAGAACACCTCACCCCAGCTGTGTTTTTTTGTAGAGTAAGGTGTTTGGTCTTCCACCCACTCCGTATGAAAGAGTTAACAGAAGGGAGTGTTATTCCATAATCTGTTCGCTAGCACCGAGATACCAATCTGATTTAACACTACAGAAAGTTAGGGCAGGTAGCTGGGTACTTGGCTACAACCAACTCACTTAGTTCAAGAGACATGGAAACTTGGCTGGGGAGCAGAACTGGACTTCTGCCACAGTCACAGAGCTGGGTCGACAGTCAGTTTGTTAGAAAGCCCTCCGAAGAAAAAAATTCAACCCGGTAAGAGTTGGAAGATCTGGCCTCTCTTGGTACCCTGAAGCATTGGTCCGTCCTTAAGACACATTGAACTTTTCAGTAGACCCAGTGGGCAGAGAAGTAGCAAGCCAGGGAGATTGTAAGAAGACGAGCAGGGGGGAAATAGCCCTGAACAGCTGGTTGCCTACTTGTAGCATCCAAATCCAGTGACAACAGCAGAGCAGATGGGAGGTTGAGTACGTTACAGCAGAAAGCCAACTATGAAACCCATCTCATCCCCCTTGAGGATAGTAGTTTCTATTACTTACTGTTCTTATGGTTGTTGCAGATGATACCTTCTGCCTCTGAGATCAAATGTATCTAATTGTAGCAGAAATAATTTCCCCAATAGGGTGTTGTAACACAGTCCAATGCTGAAAGGAAAATCAGTGATTTCAAGCAGTGCAGGAAGTTTGTGGGCAGTTGCGAGACGCATGTCTTCCATTACACAAGTGATTTCGATGTTTGCTTGAAGCCAGGATTTTCCTCTTCCTGCAGTGGTAATCCCTGTGATCATTAGAAGATGTATCTGCTGGAGATGGAATGAGTGAAATGACAAACATGTCATAAATAGCATGGCTGGCTCAGCTTTGTAAGTTCACCTTCACAGCAAGGAATCAGTACATCCAGTTCATCCTGCTGTCATTTTCTAAACCTAGAGCCCTGCAAGTCCAGCAGGGCAGAGGTTTGCTGACAGCAGCGCGCATGTTTTGAATCATGTCATCTGTAAGAAAGCACTAGAAAGTCAAAGCCTCATTCACAAAGATTTTTTTTAATTTTTTTTTTCTCCTGGGCTGTCGTTGCAGAAACTGGAAGAGAAGTTCCGGCTGAACAGGCGAGAGCTGATCGCCTTCGAGTTCCCGGTGCTGGTGGCCTTGGAGTTCGCTCTCCACCTTCCCGAGCACGAAGTGATGCCGCACTACAGACGCTTGGTGCAGAACTCCTAGCGCTGGCTGCCCTGCGGGGAAGGGGCTCCCGACTGTTCCCACTTGGCTCTCCTGAGCCGCAGTTACTACTGGAAATGCAAAATCAGACTCCTAACACTTCACTCTCTCTCTCCCCAAAACAGTTTTTCCGACAACTTATAGGAAACACTGCATCGACGTGAAACTCTCAGCTTTGACAAATTTACGTATCGTTACTTTCTCAAAGCAGGTGAAGACTGAGCTGTTGGTAAATGGTTATCGTGCTGAAACTGGGTGGCGACTGACCCTACCTGTGGGGACTACAGCTATAAAAGTAGGCAAAAATTTGAAGGGCAGCCTCCGTGACCACCCCTCTCTCCATCACACAAACCCTGGAAGCCCACGTGAGTGCATTCTCATAGCGCTTTTTCTACAGACCTGCTGCAACTTCCAAGAGGACTTCTTAACGTGAAAAAGCTTTTAAAGAGGATATCTTCACTGTGTCAAAAAGAATGTGCCAATCTATTTTTGTATCAGCAATTGAAAGTGCACTTTTTCCTGTGGGGTGTTTGTGTGTGTAGCCGTGTGTGTGTGCGTGTGCGACACCGAACTGATCTCAGTGCGGGTGGTTGGCTTAGCTGTTTCCAAGTGTATCAGTTACCGATGGCGAAGATCAAGGTGACCTTACGTGTTTACTTCTTGAAAAACATAACTACTGGAAAAGTGGTAAATGGGATCATTTTTGGACACTTGGTTTTTTTATTCTCTGATCTTTCCAACATTGTACCTTTGAAAGGATTACACTACTACTACTACGAGAGAAGGATCGGCAACTGACCTTGAGTTTTCAGTCATGTTTGTGATAAAGATGAAAGCATTAGTATGAGATTTCCATGTCATGTTTTTTAAAAATATCTTGTGTTAAGCCACATGCATATTTTTAACCTTCGCACTTTTCCCACTGTGGAGATGGTTAGACTTGCACTCTGTAGTGTTGTATTTCTGTGCTCTATGTTAGAGTGCGTAATAAGCACATTTATTGTGCTGTATCTTAAAACAGTGTTTTATTAAAAAAAAAAAAAAAAAGAGTAGGGCTCAGCAGTGTAACAGGTGTCTTAAGGCTCCAACAGCAGGGGCATCAGCTATCGTAATGTTTTTGGCTTTTCACTAGAATCGACTGTGCAAAACCTAAAATCAGTGCCCATTGAAGTTAAAGGTCCAGTTCCTTTAGACATTTCAGTACTGGAGTTTTACAGTAAAACTTCTTGCAGCTTCCCTGGTTCTGACTGGACACCCAGAAAGCTGGAGGGTTTCATCCAAGCTCCCCGACGCTGCGTACCCACCAAGCTAGCCCCATGCTTACGGACATCCTTCACTTGTCGTTATCCCCTGAGATTACACCCCTGTCCGATCTTCTCCTGTGCTGGTTCACTTAACAAGCCTTGCCCTCGACATGCTCCATACGGATCCAGTAAAGTCAAATACTTACAGTTATGGTATTTATTAAAAAAAATAAAAATAAATAAAATCTCAAGCGTGAGATTTTAGCTGAAGCCTTACCTCTCTAAGTTTGGGAGTGCTTGCTCAGAGTATGGAAAGGGCTTGCGAGCAGAACACAGAGAAATGGGACATACCAGAGGATGTAAACACACTAATGCTTATTTTCTTTCGCTCTTACTTTAATCAGTTTTATTATTTCCTTCAGTTAGGCCAGGAAACATCCAGTTTCTTTACCAGCTTTGACTCCTTTAAATTCTCGTATGAAGAACGCCTGCGTACAATTGCTCTATAGGATCTGGAGAGGTTACACATGTCAGGACAAAGGGGAATCTGTTTGATGCTGTTGCTCTCTCTCCATTTTAAGGGGGAGGGTGACTATGCTAGCTTACCGTTACTAGTAATACTTACCTAATTACTGATTAGATACATTCCAACAGGATTGGGGAGGAGGGGGTAAAGAGAAAAGCATGCACTTACCTCCCTGGTGCAACGTCCCATGCCTCTGCAACCCATGCATCACTCGGCCGGCTGGGGAGCGAGGGGAGGGGGGCCCTCGATGGCACTCCTGCTCCATCCTCCTCCTCCTCCTGGCCCCCACACAGCCAAGGAACAGAGGAGCCAAGAGCCTGGAGCGTGCCTAACGCCTACGGCTGCCCTGCCGGGTTATTCAACCCAAAACGGCGGTGCAGTGTTGACCTACAAGCCAAAACGGTCTGTGGGACTTCTGTCCTCGGCTGCATCCCTTCCCACCGAAATCGTGTATATACGTTCAAGATTTGCTTCTGATTGCAGAGATCTGTTTCTAATAGTGACCACTCAAGGCTAAGCAGAAGCTTTACCTTTCCGTAAAAGCTTCCACCTTTTGCTTTTGAGTCTGGATTTTTTTTTTATGTTGCTTTATAGTATTGCAGGGAAAAAGCAAATTGTGATTGCAAGATGCAGACTAAAGAATGACAGTCTTACAGTAGTCTTTAGAGACGCTATTGAATCACGCTGTCACATCTTTTGTCTTCTGTGCTGCTACCCAACCCTGATCTACAGTTTACACAGATTTCTGGGATGAAATCTGATCGCTGGAGGCTTTCTGCTTTTCATTGTTGTTCTCGTCGTTGTTGTTTTGGGGGCAGGAAAGGGTTTCGGAGTGATGCTCAGTTACAGTTTGAATGTGGAATAAACACTTAAGATGGTGATGATGTTGCACTGTTCACTTAGGAACGTATATAAAGCCATATGATGCTAGGTCTCAGAGCACAAAGCTTGGTCAGTACAATTATGGTTAGGACAACGGGCAGGATTTGCCCCCCTTTTCTCCCCAACCCTGGGAAAATTCAGGCTGAAGTGGCAGAGGAAATCTGTACCAAACAAAAAAACATGTTGATTGTTTGCCTTTGTCTTACATGGTAATGAGTGTTGATTTACAAATGATTTTAGGTTCAACTTTAAATAGTTTGGGAAAATAATCCATTCCATATCACTTGTTCTGTTTTGAAATTATATACCGTACACTCTACCATGCAGAGTTTATTCCTTTTTTAAAAAAATAAATAAAAGTTTTAAAAAAAATTGAAAAACCCAGACTCTTTTCCGCCAGTGACAGTATGCAAAATTATTCTGTTCTCTCGTCTGTATGTGTCAAATGGTTTTGGTTTTCTCTTCCTCTGGGACGTAAAGCTGCTTATTAAGAAGCCAATGGTGGGATTGCCCAAGGGCCCTCGCCATCTCCTGCCATTCATCTCCCTGCAGAGCCCTCACTTCCAGGATCCTCCCTCCAGCCCAGATCTTAATCTTCTTTTTCCCAGACCATTGTTTTGGGTTTGGGGGGTTTTTTAAGCTCTTCTTTTTGGCACCAGCTCCTCCTCCTGGAGCTGCCGGGCCCTGGTTCTCCCAGTCCAAACTGTCGGTGTGAAGGATGAGGCACAAGCACGCTCCTCAGCATTGCTCATCTCTCACGATCCCTTGTTCACTGGAGAATTTTGGGTACGCCGCTTTGGTTTAGTCCAGGTTGTAGTAAAATTTACAACTGGCCCCCGTACCAGTTGTAGTTCACAAACAGCTGCTTCCCCTTGGGAGGTAGAAAGTTCAGTTTGGGACATTCGTGCGTGCACACACCTGATTATACACCACCTATTGGCATTCAAGCTATTTTTTTCCACTTATGACACCCCCTAAATCCAACACCTATTTAGGTGGTCTCACCAAACAACACCCATTTATTGTGCATTTTCGTTCAACGTTAATAAAGTTATGCAAAAGGTTTGGCTCCCCTCCTCCACCCATCGCTGTCTGGGCTGTCTAGAGACTCTCAGCTGGAAAACAAGTTTGTAGCCATACAAACATTAGGTGGATTTACACAGACCCCAGAACATACAAATATACAGAAAAATGCTTTACTAATCATCATCCAAAACTCACTAACGGGCAACGGTTTCTTTGGGATAGTCTATATTGTCTTTAAATGATGTAACTTCATATAATTGCTCCAGTCTCCTAAAATACAGAGCCCACAGCATAAGCCTTCCCTGGAAGTTGTGAGGAGTAGTTTGTTGGGAGACAATAGCACCTTCCCACGATGCTAAAGGATTTTGGCACCAAGCCCCACATTAAACATTTAAAGGAAAAAAAAAAGAAAAGGTAAAAGTGGTTTAGCGAGGTAAGAGACTAAACCATCCCAGCAGCAATGCCAACATCACCGGCTGAGACTGAAATCTGTCCCAGGTTGCACCTTTGGGAGGGGGGGAAGAAGGAGTGTGGGAGGCAGATTTGAAGTAAATGTGTTCATCTTCCATTTTAAACTTTGTAGTGAAGAGCAGGGGGAAAAAAAAAAAAAAAAAAAAAAAAAAAGAAAAAGAAAAAGAAACTTCAGGTGCATCCCTTCGAAGAAAGTTGCAGAGAAGCAAAAAGGCTTTTCTGAAATCCTAAACCTCGTTCCTTCCCACCAGCTTCAGTGTGAGCCCCTACAGCCAGAGACTCCCTCCCCCAGCCTGGAGCCTGTTGGCCTGGGTGAGCTCAGAGGAGAGACTTCAAGTCACTATAAACAAAAGAAACCTTGCCCAGACACCAACAGAAAATACCAGGACCAACAGTGAGAGGAGAAGCAATGGGTATCGTGGGCTACTGGGAAAGAGCAGGAACTGTGACCCTGGAAAATGGCTTGTATACCTTCAAAGCAAGGCAGGAGGGACCAAGAAGTTGCTGCTGGCTTGAACAGCAAACACTTCCTTCCCTTAGCGGGAGCTAAATATTGGCTACCACCAGAAGTTAATTTGCCTTTCCTAGGTATTTCTCTAGCCTATCATACACCCTTTTCCATAATCTTGCTGAGCATCACCTTAAACCAGCTTGGACCCTCACTTCTGCTACGCTGTTTAGACAGATGCTCCAGGACTTAGTTCCTCAAACCAGAAGAAGCCTTCCAGTTTGCAATCAAATTTCATTGGTGACTAGTTTATAACTTTTTGAACTCACCTATGTCAGTATCTCACTTAACTTGAAACTGAGATCTTTTCCCTATGGGAACTCTGGGATGGGGACGTCCTCAGCAGCAGCAGATATTCTTAACAAAGTTCTGGCGTTTAGTTAGACAAGACACTAATACGAGAAAGGAGAGGCAAGAAAATAATCCTCTTCCAAGAGCTTCCAAGCGCAGTGCAGTGTTGCCTTGGCTAACATCAGTGGGTATGTCCACTGAGGTATTCAGAACCACTGGCACAAGGCCTAAGCTTCTTTAATTCACCAGCAGCCAGAGCGTGCCTTTGTAGTCCTCTCTTTTCCTTCCCAGCACATACAGACATGAAGGGCAAGTTTCCCTCTTCCCCATTGCTCCCCTCTACCAACAGCTGGAAGGTTTTTACTTTGAGAGTTGACTGGGAGACCAAGAGGATGAACAGGCAGAAGGGTTTATTTACAAACCAGTATTAAATCCCCAGTGTTCATAAACAGAGCCTGGTTTACCAGGAATGGATTCTCTTCATTGATTCAGAAGAGAAAATAGTGGGATTTTCTGTCAGTATTTAGCCTAAGCTTTAGAAGAGCTTTTCTTCGGTGCCTGTAGAGGCTGGAATCTTACAGCAAGGAAAAGTCCGGAGACAGACTACCTCAAGCCACCTGTTTCTCCTCTTCTTGCCACACCAATAATTTAGTTGCTCACATGATTGCACTCTACTGGCTTTTTACAAAGGACAAAGGCAT